AAACCACTCTTACAAAACACATCAGCCACACAATCCCATATTGTCTCAGTGCTGCATTGCCCCATAAAAAAACTTAACACAGGCCCACCACGTCATCCCCGTTTCTGCTATTTTTCTTTTTTTTATGCTGAGCTGCTGCCAAGTCAACAACTCATCGATTTCTGGTTGGGAATGTGATCTCACACTTAAGGCTATGAATGACGCACACATCCAAACTATTGAGGCTAAGTACGTAGAGTTTGGCTAAAGCACACACACGCTCTGAACTAGAGCTTGGTCTTGGATAGACACAATCTCTGCAGTGCTGTATAAATAAATGACATCTCCGTTACCTCAAATGGCTCCACGTTACTGAAATGGAGCAAGCCGAATGCATTGCGGCAGCGCTCTGAACACAGCAAAAGGCATTTGAAGAGTTCCAGCACAGCCTGGTGGGTAAGCTCTGAAAATACACCAGGTCCACCCCAAGGACTCTGTGGAGTATTGATGTGTGCGAGCTCTGGGTCTCGGCTAGCTGCCAGGCAAGGTCAGGCTATCATGAGGTTTCATCTCCAAAACCAAAAATTTGATACTGAGTGCTAAAATTGGTCCAAAGTAAACTTCTTTTTTATTTTTTCCCCTGAATGTTAGACAGTCACACTCATGACTGCACTAGTACTGCCAGCCACGGTGGTATGCAGCTGTGGGATTCAAGAGACAAAACAGCTGTAAATAGTTATTCCCCTGAAAAAGGTTTATTATGTTAATTTCAAAAATTCAGTAACATTATGCATTGCTGATGCTGACATTCCTGAGTCTGAGGACATAATTATTTAATAAAATCCTGGTTTTCACTAAGGTTAAAACAATGAGACTAATATTTTACAATAACTTGTACTGTGTCCTTCCTAAATGATTTTTTTTTTTGCCCCTAGAAAGGAGATCTGCTAGTATAAACTTGCTTACTACTTTTGTAGTCACCATCTTCCTTTCATTTACATTGAAAAGGAAGATTGACTTACAACGCTTTTGTATAAAAAATTATTTCTACCTTGCTGTACCTTTAAAATTATTGGATTCTGTTTTTCTTCAGAAGACTTAACATTTTTTCTGAAGTAGAGCTGATACATATAGAAACGTGCTGTACTCTGTAACTGAAACTTTCTTTTTCTTCTATTTTGGTTTTCCCTCGTCTAAAACACAGCACGCTGGTTCTTGGCAAACAGTTGCTTTATGCATGGAAAAATAGCTGGGGTACAGCTGTGTAGAGCCCTCGGGGAATTTCTGATCTTCTTTCAGAGGCAATCTGGAGAACATACAATGTCAAAAAATCTGGGCCTTTACAAAAGCAAGATGCCTTGTCAAAGAGATAAGCATTGCTACTGCAGAGTTTTTCTGAGGAATGTTAAATACAGGATATAATTTCCAGCTTAATGAGACACCTGTCTTGAGCCACTATTCTTTCTTACTTTCTTTGCCATCTCCCACAAACAAATGGCTCACAATGTTAATATTTTACTTCCCTTTGTAGCTCCTAGCTTCAACACTGCCATGTGTCATGGACTCGCTCTCCGGCTCGGTTTGCGCCTCTCATACAAGATTTAACTCGTGTTTCCCGTTTTGCAGCAAAACCCCAAACCCGCTGCTTTCTTCACTCCTCTGGCAAACTTGCCCCTACCAGGCAATGTCCTAATGGTAGCAGTGAGAGGTTGGGCAGCTGGGGACCTTCTGGGCCTGGTCCAGCCCCTCGGGCTCCTGCAAATGACCACCAGCTCCTGCCCAGCAGACCAGTTTTGAGCGAGGGGAAGGAAGCGCTCCCTTCCCCAGCAGGGACTGAGGTCCATGCCATCAGGAGCTGCAGGGTCTGAAAGCTTCAGCCACCTTCAGCAGTGGAGAGGGTATGTTCATGGACACCCACGCACAGGTGGGAAAAGGACCAGGCACAAACGTGCCCTACAAGAGCCCAAACACAGCAGTGGAATTTGGGGTAAGGGAAAGTGACACAGCTTTTGTCATCTCCTTGAACGGCATCCCTGACCACCACAGCTCAGTGCAGTGGCTGGTTTTTGTGTTGTATAACACTTATCTCAAGAATCACGACGTGGCTGATATTCATAATGCACGATCTCTGAAAAAGATTTTTAACATAACTAACTTTTTTCATTACAGAGCACAAGAAACATAACAAAATCTAACCAAAAGCGAACACACAGTTCACTCCCCACTGCAGTTACCTGACCAAGCAGAATCTTGTGGAGGCTCTGGGATCCTTCTTCTCCACATCTTCCCACACTGGGCTCTGCTAACACAGCACTGTCACTTTTCCATACCCACTTTTCCATCAGCTTCTACCCAGCAAATTGTGGGACCAACCCTTTGGTCACATAAGCCCTTGATTGCTCTCATTTGTTGCTCAAAGTCCTCTCCCAGCTGACCTCATGCTTAGTTATTTTTATCCTGGACTTCAGATTATAAAACACTTTCAAACAACAGGTAACTCTTAGCTCGAGGCAGTGGTTAGCAGCCTCCATGCAACTTAGCTCTACTTCAGAAAATAAAAGTTTCGCGTCTTACTTTGCATATTTGTTTCTCAGCTTTTAGGCTATGCCTTCTCCAGCCTGCTACAGAGTTGCTCTTGCCCTAACAAAGCCAGAGCAGTTTCCTAGCAGAGCTTATTAGCTTGGATTTCATACCTCACCTGTAACAGGCTTCACTGTGTTCCTGGGAGACATAAAATTAAGCCTACAAGGGAATAAGCCGTGTGGCTATGGAGCATCCAGCGTAACGACCTTCTACAAGCTCTATGTCACCACCTCGTGGATTTTTGAAATTAAAATGACAATAGAGAGGGAAGAAAACCATCCCTGGTATATATTTAGAGAGTTTCTATAAGCAATCAGAATTTCTAAGCTGTTTTAAGACAGGTTCCCTCAATTGTCACACTGGGATTTAATGAGATTTAATTGTATGAAGTGTTATTTAATTTGAAAATAATTAAAAGCCAAGAGCTCAGTTTATCCTCTTGTGACTACAAGGAACTTTACTCTGAAAGTGGTTTACACTAGGGACGTGAGAGCATTTTTAATGTAAGGCTCTGTTTCTCTGATTGGGCTAACAATGAAGACATGCATGAGGCAAAATTTAACACAGTTCAGGACTTTTCTTTCAAAACACATACACAAATCAAGTATTAACCTGTCATGCATTAAAAAAAAAAAAAAATGCAGTCAAAAGAACATTGAAGTCATTCTATAATACAATTTGAGCAAAACAAAATCCTCCAGAATTTTTACAGCCCAGGTGCTGCAGGAGCTTGAGAAACTGTAGAACCATTTTTCAAGGAACTGAAGTGTACGAGTGCTCTCAGATTTACCCAAATGAAAATTTGTGCCTAATTTTTTGATGTGGGAAACATTTTCAGTTGTTCCTAAAAGGATGACTAGTCTCTGTCTTCACACTCTTACAATAGGTAGCTGAACCAACCTCTTTATTTTACTGCCGGAACTAGCTAGAGAGGCATTTCAGTGGCCAAATATTAGCAAAAGAAAAATAAATTAATTGTTCTCTGTCATCCAGTGAGCACTAGTGCGTGGATCTGCATCCAAGCCTCTTTATACTTTTGGTCTTCAAAGGCATGCTAAATTTGCAATTTTGACATGTTCCTCTAAAAATAGTCAACAGACTTGGGCCTTACAGTTTTTTTAGGTTATCTTCACATTTATTCTCAAGATCTTTTTCCCCACAGATGACCCCCTCAGCTTTGTTTATCAACTAACACAACTTCACCTGAAAACGCAGTTCAGCTGACAGTCAAGGGGAATCTCGCTGCCTCTGTCACAGTTTGCTGCCACTTATTCAAGCAATACTGCCAGGAAACACTTGTCTGAGCTGATAATTACAAATGAAATATTTGATCTAAAGTAACAGCAAAATTAAATTAATGTTTTAACCAAGCGTGACTGTATGTGTTGTTTACATAGGTCCCTAAGTATTTTCAATTATGTTTTGTAATGAGAGATTAGGAGTATGCAGTGATAAACTAAAGGGACTGAGTCTGTTGAGTGACTGTTCCTTTAATGACTGCAAGCAAAAGAAAAATGAAGTTTCCTTCCTCTGTAATGAAACAATCATGACACTTACCTGTCTTCACACACAGTTTTATAACAATTAAATGGTGTGTTTTCCTACTGAAATTTGTAAATTTTATCGATGTATAGGATAGCACAAGATTCTGTGCATTTAGAAGAAAATTATCAGTTTTCAGGGTCCAATAAAACACAGTAATTTCCACCTTGTCGACTATTATCTTTTTTATTTGTTCTAGAGACAGCAGGCTAAAATCCAGCAAGAAATAGTAAAAATATCACAACTATAACATGCAACACTTCATAATGAAAATAAAAAAAATATCCTGTACCAATTAAAATCTACAAGGTTTGGAGGAAAAATATCTAAGTATTTTCCAATTCTGAAAACAGGTCAGATCCCTTTAAATAACAGTATGCATAAGAAATAGATGTGCAAGCATGCAGTATTTTAAGCTCTAAGGATTAACAGAATGTGTTTTCTATCAGAATTGTTGCAATCATTCAAACGCCAATCTCCAAACTCTTCTTTGACTCTAACATTGAAATCTCAGATTAATATATGTGGAGCAACAAGGACACCTTGAGGCAAGTTTGAAAAATGCAAAAATTTCTATTCCACATTGATATGGGAGGACTTACAGATTCTCCGTAAGACTGAGTTCCTTGGAATTGCCACATGATATAAATGATAAGCTCTAAAACCTGTTTGGCAAAGCCCCACAAATTCCACAGAATATTATTAAAGCAGTACTTGGTCAGCACTCCCGAAATGCTAGAATATATGTGTAGCAATTAGGTTAATTTACTTGCTCATAGTTGTGAAGACAGACCTGTTTTTGCAACATGCTAATCTTCTTGTTCTGAGTTGCCTTTCCCCTTGTCACAGAAGTAAAAAAATTTCCTCCCCACTGCTCAGCGCAGTATTATACTGTACAGATCTTTAACAGAAAAAGTATAAAAATAGTGAAAATGTTTCTGAAGAAGTATTAAATGCAAATCTACACAAAACTTAAAACTTTCACAGTTCTTTGTCACTCTCTACAAGTTTCAAGTATTCTTTAAATTTGTACCTTCGAAAAACTTATACAACAGTGAATGTCTTTAAAAACAAAGGTGGGAAGAGGAAGAAATCTTATACTTCTTATTTTGTTTTGATTTTTTGCACATGAAAAAGCACTTTTTCTTTTTAGTATAGCCTCTAAGTTAGAACTGGAGTTGTGGGGCCATTTGTAGAGCTTTCTGTTCCCTTCGTGCTGTCTGCAGATTTAGAATCATCACATACTTCAGGAGCCTCCTTTTCCTCTGTCATTGGTGGGTTAAGATCAATTGTGATCAAATCAGTTTCCTGATCTGTTTTTTCTACCTCACTGCAAAATTCAACTTTATCTTCCTGCTGGCTGTTCTTCTTTATTTGTCCATTCTGTGCAGGGTAGGTACTGGCAATGGTGTCATACAGAAATTGGTAATGTTCCTTAAATAGAAAGAGAAGAAGTTAGCATGAATGGAGTTCTCAGAGCCCAAGAGTAAACCCATTCTTTCTCTGTTTTCTTAAATTTTCAAACGTAACATGTAGTTGAACATGCAAGACTGCATATGAAGTAGCTTCCACAGGTTTGGGGGCACAGTGTTTCTTTTATGGTTTATTTCATTTGTACATAAAGTCTCTATAACTGCCTGCATCAGACGTTCCAAGTTGTCACTCAGTACCATCTTGGTTTACAAAGTCCCCAAAATATGTTTTTTAGAGTACCTAAGTTGTAAACAACACATATTGTAAGGAGTCTAGGAAAGTCATCTAATAACCTGCCCCATACCAATGACACCCACCTAGGTCTGGTTTTTTAGTAAATGTTTGTACGCCACAAAGACACAATTCCTCTGGAGCGATTTAAACTGAAAACAAGTTGATGGCCCCTAGCCTGTGAAATGGAGTGAGCCTCCTAACTCTGCAGAAGTTAAGGGACACTGTACACATACATCCCTGAAGCAACTGCAGAAACAACAATTTATGCAATGTGTAATTTTATAATATACACCTTTCCACAAAGGCATTATAGAATTGCAACTCGATGTCTCACAGACTCCTTCATTCTTATCAGTAACAGCCAGTTCCTAAGCACTGGTGAGCGGCTGTAAATGTCCTGATTAGAATTAGTGCTACCTATGCAGAAATGATGCATAAGTTATGAGGATAGTAGTGACCATGATAAGTAATCTTATAATTTTTTCTGGTAATTAATAAGATTTACTCACAAAGGTGGAGACCACTCCCAGCCTGGTGCGACGAAGAGCTTTTACTACCTGGAAAACGTCTATTACTTCTTCTATTTCTGCGCTTTCCAAGAGGGTCATTAAAGCACAAAATACACCAGTCTGCTGTGATCCGTCACTAGAAGATGATGTAAAATATGCATGTAAATTTAAAATGTAAAATCAGCAGGTCTTCTGACTAAATGACAGATTTATTTCAAAGACTACATCATGAATTACATTTCCAAAACATTTTTTACTGGACTGAAATTATTACAATTAACAATATCTGTAGAACATACACAAGACAGTTAATCTAGAGGCTACCTGGATCTCATGTGGCCACTTAAGGGATAAGAGAGAAATAAGAAGCTTCAGACATACGGTTTCAACAATTGTTAGCAGGATTATGCTCTGCTTTAGATGGTATGCAAGGCTATTCCTGGAAATGGACCTAAAAAAGTGGGCTTATGTACTGGATTGAGAGATGAACCTAAAAGCTCTGCTGAATCCTCATTAGTAGTATGCTACAAGAGCAGTTTGACCCAGCATTTCTTCTCAAAATATGCATACCAGGCAAGAGCAGCTAGCTCTGACCACCTACTCCGTGCCCACGTTTGCCAAGAAGTGTGCTCGCTTTTCAGCACCACAATCAAAAAGGTCAAGCTTGAGCAATTCAAGCAACCTTCTAGGGAGAGCTCTGTCTCCAGACACATGGAAAGGCTTGTGGGGAAGGGCAAACATCCCAAAATTGTGGTTGCTACATATATCCAGACCTTAGAGCTAGGTTAAGCTATGTGCTGACTTCAGACCCACCGGCAGTGGACAATAAGCGGGACACTGCGCATACTCCTGTTGTCCTCAGTGAATGGTCTGGTTGGGATTTTTTGTTTAAGATTGAGAATCATGTTGACCAAATCTTTGGGGTTTTCTGGAACATCCAAGCCACTCCACTTGTGATACTGATATTGATACACCTTCTGTGTTTCTTTTGTCTGAAAAATATCATTGAAGACATAGTCAATGTTCAGGTTAAAAGATAGATTCACATCTATTACAGCTGACTTCGAAAAGTTATCTTCCTGAGGAACTGCATGGTGATGCGAGTTCTGCCTCCTGAATATGAGGTAGGTAAACATGCAAGCTTTGCTCAAAATACAAAAGACAGCTATTCTCCTGAGACTCCACTATCACCATCTCAGCAATTCACTTAATGGAAAATCTGTGCTGTTTTATAGCATTTATGATGATTGGCTGCTGGTCTGGAAGAGAAAAATTTTTCAATTTTTTATAGCAGGAGGTAAGTGCAGTGGGAACTGTCCCTTCTCTTTCTTTAGGCTAAGTTTATAACAGGGAAACAAATTTTAAACTTCTTTTTGGAATTTGCAAAGTAACTTTTACCTTCAGGTGTGTAACATCAAATGCACGTATGGTATAGCTAGGACAAGAGCTGACATCTGTCATTTGAACTTCTATGCCATCATATGTTTGTTTTCCTTCTCCCCAGTACTGTGCACAGAGCTCCTAAAACGGATAAAAGTACAAATCAGTGCTTTCCACTCAAACTTCATTTCATTTTATCTTCCACTTGCACTTACGGAGTGTATTGACTCTAAAGTAGTAGGAGTGTCACTGTATTTTAAAATATAGCATGGTACACTCTTCCCTTCAAAAATTCATTAGAAAGTAAATTAAGAAGGTAAATAATAGAATAAATTATGTTGGAAATCCAAATTCCTCACCCCGTGAAATACGCTTAACTGGAGGAAGGGAATGAGAGAATACAGTGCAATGCTGCTCTCTACACTAGAGAGCAGCTGGAAGGTACCGAGCTCTGCCTAGGGGTGGATGAAGAACGAGTCAAAAGCTAATGGGTAAGAATTAAGGGGCAGGCTAATACGGGTGATACTGTTGTGTGTGTTTACTGCAGACCACCAGATCAAGAAGAGGAAGTCGATGAGGCCTTCTACAAACAGTTGCAAATAGCTTCACAAGCACAGGCCCTGCTTCTCATGGGGGATTTCAACCACCCTATTTGCTGGAAAGGCAACACAGCCAGGCACACACCGTTCAGGAGGTTTCTGCAGAGCATTGATGATAACTTTTTGACATACAAAGTGGGGAGCCAACAAGGAGAGGCATGCTGATGGACTTTGTGCTAACAAAGAAAGAAGGACTAGTTGGGGATCTGAAGGTCCTGGGTTGCCTTGGCTGTAGTGACCATAAGATGGTGGAGTTCAGGATCCTGCATGGAAGAAGCAGGGCAAAAAGTAGAATTATAACCCTGGACTTCAGGAGAGCTACTTTGGCCTACAAAAACCTACTTGGAGGAATCCTATGGGTTAAGGCTCTAGAAGGCAGAGGGGTCCAAGAGAACTGGTTAATATTCAAGCACCACTTCCTCCAAACTCAAGATCGGTGCGTCCCTGTGAGTAAGAAAAACTTCTGGAAAAACTCAAATGGAAGAAGGAAGTTTACAGAATGTGGAAAAAGGGACTGGCCACTTGGGAGGAGTATAGGAACATTGTCAGACTATGCAGGGGTGTGATGAGGAAGGCGAAGGCCCACTTGTAATTAAATCTGGCAAGGGATGTCAAGGACAAGAAGAGCTTCTTCAAGTACCTCAGTAGCGAAAGGAAGACTAGAGAAAATGTGGGCCCACTGCTGAATGAGGTGGGTGCCCTGGTGATGGAGGATGTAGAGAAGGTGGAGGTACTGAATGCCTTCTTGTCTTCAGTCTTTATGCTAAGGCCAGCCCTCAGGAATCCCAGAACCTGGAGGTAAGAGAGAGAGTCTGGAGAAATGAAGACTTTCCCTTGGTCGAGGAGGATCCAGTTAGAGATCGTTTAGGCAAACTCAACACCCACAAATCCATAGGCCCCAACACCTAAGCACCTAAGAGTGCTGAGGGAGCTGGCAGATGTTATTGCGAAGCCACTCTCCATCATCTTTAAAAGGTCATGGAGAACAGGAGAGGTGCCTGAAGACTGAAGGAAAGCCAATATCACTCCAGCCTTCAGAAAGGGCAAGAAGGAGGACCCAGGAAACAACAGGCCAATCAGCCTCACCTCCATCCCTGGAAAAGTGATGGAATAGCTCATTCTAGATGTCATCTCTAAGCATGTGGAGGAAAAGAACGTTATTGGGAGTGGTTAACATGGATTCACCAAAGGGAAATCATGCTTGACCAATCTGGTAGCCTTCTATGATGGCATGACTGGCTGGGTAGTTGAGGGGATAGCAGTGGATGTTGTCACCTCAACTTCAGCAAGGCTTTTGGCACTCTCCCATAACATCCTCACAGGTAAGCTTAGGAAGCGTGGGTTAGACGAGTGGACCGTGGGGTGGATTGAGAACTGGCCGAATGGCAGAGCTCAGAGGGTGTGATCAGTGGCACAGAGTCTAGTTGGAAGCCTATAGCTAGCAGTGTTCCCCAGGGGTCAGTACTGGGTCCAGTCTTGTTCAACATATTCATCAATGACCCGGATGAGGGGACAGAGTGTACCCTAAACAAGTTTGCTAATGACACAAAACTAGGAGGGGTAGCTGTTACACCAGAAGGCTGTGCCGCCATTCAGCATGACCTGGACAGGCTAGAGAATTGGGTGGAGAGGAACCTAATGAAGTTCAAACAGGACAAGTGTAGGGTCCTGCACCTAGAGAGGAACAACCCCAGGTACCAGAAAAGGTTAGGGGTTGACCTGCTGGAAAGCATCTTTGCAGAGAGGGACCTGGGAGTCCTGGTGGACAAGTTGACCATGAGCCACCAACGTGCCCTTGTGGCCAAGAAGGCCAATGGTATCCTGGGGTGCACTAAAAAGAGGCTGGCCAACAGGTCAAAGGAGATCATCCTCCCCCTCTACTCTGCCCTGGTGCGGCCACGTCCAGAGTTCTGTGTACAATTCTGGGCTCCCTAGCTCAAGAAAGACAGGGAACTACTGGAAAGAGTCCAGCAGAGGGCTACAGAGATGATCAAGGGACTGGAGGACCTCTCTTATGAGGAAAGGCTGAGACACCTGTGTCTGTTTAGCCTGGAAAAGAGAAAACTGAAAGGAGATCTCATCAATGTTTATAAAAATATCTAAAGGGTGGTTGTCAAGAGGATGGGGCTAGACGCTTTTCAGTGGTGCCCAGCAACAGGAAAAGAGGCAACACGCACAAACTGGAACACAGGAAATTCCATCTCAACATGAGGAAAAACTTGTTTACTTTAAGGGTGACAGAGCACTGGAACAAGCTGCCCAGAGAGATTGTAGAGTCTTCTCTGGAGATATTAAAAAACCTACCTGGATGCATTCCTGTCCAACCTGCTCTAGGTGAACCTGATTTGGCAGGGATTGGACTAGATGATCTCCGAAGGTCTCTTCACACACCTACCATTCTGTGATTCTGTCTTTCCATGTAGAGGAACCTTAATATGTCAGTGTCAAGATGATGCCCTCACCTGATCTCCTTCTTTCAGCTCTGTCAGCATAACAACGATTTTGACTTTTCTTTGGAAGACCATTTGCCAGAAGTCAGAGATAGTTTCCTGCAGTGGTCCCTGTGTTGCAATCATGGCTTTTGGACCCCAGTAACCCTATAAAAGAAAATTTAATATTTTTTTCTTAAATTAATTTGAAATGTGATTGTCAAGCAACAAAACTCATTGTCATTTAAAGTATGCCCAGTGAAATAAACTAATGAACCCATTTGTTTATAGAGGAGATATGCTGATCACAGTAGGAATGGTCTTACAGGAATTCTACAAGCCAAATGTCATGAAACACTACTCTCCTAACAACAGTATCACTTTCAGATTCACAACAAGGTATACTCATGCTGCAGTGTGTGAGACCTCACCCGTCATTTTTTGCAAAGCATATTTTTAAGGACTAAGACATTTAATTCTACACAGCTGTTTAAATTGACCACTAAGAAATTGAGTTTATACCACACAAGGCTGGTGCACAAGTAAGTTCACACTGAGCTACCCAAAAGTAAATATATTTACTCTGAATAGATATCCTGACTGTGCAGCATTTTAAAGGATTCAGATAAATTGAATTCAGCTACTAATTACATTAAAATCGGTTACTTCATTAGTGACCAATAACTGGCCTCCTTCTTTTGGAGGTATATATGATACCAAAATGATAGTCCCAATTTTCACTAGTAGGTTTTGTATATGTGAATAACTGTACTCACATTTCACTAACAGGGAAAATATTAAAATAGATTAACTTGTACATAGGCAGATGTCCACCAATAGAAATACATGTTATCATTACGCCAGTCTGAAAGCTGCTGGTTTTAAACATAACACACACACATTAAAAAGAAAAAAAAAAAAAAGGTATTTCTATGTTTAGTCTCACTGTTTGAGATTGCACAGTCTGAGACTATGTAAGGGAAAAAGATTTATTACTGCAAAATCTAGAAGATTTTGATGCTTAAAACTATAAATGGATTTGCTAATCAACTGTCAGATCTTTCTCCCTTATTCAGGTAAATCCTATTCTATTTGTGAGGCCAATAAGAATAAGAGCTCAAGCTAGAATATAGTTTTAGGTGAAAGTTTGTGAAATACTTCTTGTGGATCTTCTAAATACGTACAGTTATGAAAGAAGCATTGATGTATTTGCTTGATTCCTCACAGTCACTGTCCTCATCTGAGGAATCATCCGAATCGTGTTCTCCTTCCTTATTGCATTCATCTTCATGCCTGATTGGCACTCGGTTAAAGTCATCTGCATGAGACAAAATGTCAGCATCACACCACACTGCTCCTCATGGACATCGTTAGAGGGGGACTGTCCCCACATGTGCAAGGGGGAAATAGACAGAAAAACTTTCACAACAAACTGCAGAAGAAAGGCCACTGTATTTGAAATAAATACTCCCTATAATTCTCATTTTTAAAAGCTCATCTCTTCTTTACTGAAAACACTATGAGAAGTTTCTAATTTTACAGTGTTGATAAAATTGATCAATCGAATACATCTCAGTATGGTTATATACTGTCCTCATTTTTTTCAAAACATAGTAGGTTTTCTTACAGAAGATAACAGATAGAATAAGGGAAGGTTCGTGGAAAATACTTACATGGAATTATGTTGGCATTCCTATTTTTGCTTTTATTTTCCTCACGATTCCCAGTGTTCTGTGTCCGCCACCCTTTATAGGAAGGTAATCTCTAAAGAAAGAGGATGTTTGGTATTATGCTGGATCAAAATGATTCCTGGTATCATTGTCCCCTCTGGACACCCACACCCAGTGCCTCACTTCTTACTTTAATTCTTTAAACTTTGGTCACATCTGGACTATAGTTCAAAAATGCCTGTTATACCAGGTGCAATGGCAGAGGAAATCATGCACATAGCCACAAGTAATTGTTCTATGCTCCCCATCTTTGTTAAAAATATTAACATCAAAGGCAGGAATAAAATTTCATTAATTTACAACTTTTTTCATGAAGGTAAAGAAACTGTTTCTGTGCCAGAGAAATAAAATAGCACGTAAGTGATCTATTATGTATGATATCTCTACCTCATGACTATTGTGCGAGGCAGTTTTTAATGTAAGTGGGAGGTAAGGGCACTAAAATGCAATGCTTATTTACCTGAAACTCTGCCTCCAGCAGAGAAGGATCACTTGGAGGATCTTTTCTTTTCAGATTTTTAAGGTAGGAATGCAGTTCTGAGAGACTGACCTCTGTTTCTCCATACTGATTGTATTCCACTAGCGCTTGATGGATAAGGATGTACTGTGACTGGTGTTTCCCATTTGAAGGGTTTAAAAATGAAGTTATTAAAGAGTTAAAAAAAATAGTCATATCACTTTTTAAAACCATTATAAGAAACTATTACTTCCATGATGTTATCAGTGTTTACAATATTAAACATTAATGTTCAATAAACATTAAATATAAGTATTAAAAATCAGAGTGACTCCCAAATTAGACATTCTGGGGCACATTTAGTATGGTGGATGAAGTGTTCTGCAAATAAATGTAATGTCATTCAAGAAATACGGAATTGCGGTTCGGAAGATCTGCAAAATGCTTAAATAAATTAAAAACAATAAGTTAAAAACGGGCATGGCAGTCCGTAACTTTTCTTGTACTCTCATCTCAACTGAAAATCCCACCTAGACAGACAGTTTTTAGAATTTAAAAATTAAGTTTGACTACACAAGCTCAATTTTGCATTTGTGAATTGTATGCTGAAAGCTGGATTATCAAATCCATAGTGTTCATCTTGGCTTCTTTTTTTAAAGCCTAAACTTTAAAAGTTGAAGTTACTAAAACTGAAAAACTGTGTTGGAAGTTTTTCTCTCTGCTAATATTTTTCAGAGCTGTATTTTCCATGAACAACTTCAACCGAACTGTAGCAGTAACCAAGACTGAGCAGCACACTTCTGAGAAATAGGAATGAAGCCCTAGCAAAGGAGAGTCCTAAGTGACAGGAGTTTTAGCAAGATACCTCTACTTGAACCATGAGGCACCGCTGCCGACGCAGCTTCACAACATAGCCATAAACATCCACTCTGCCTTCTGCATCCAGCCCCTCCAGCATGGCATCAATTCCTATATATGTCCCAGTGCGTCCAACACCGGCACTGCAAAGCACAAAAGGATTTGGTTATCGAGAGGCAATGGCATCTCTCCATTCCATTCTGAGAGGGGAGCAGTCAGTGAGAGAGCAAAAGTGAAAATGTTTAACAACAGGATACGGAGCAACCGAAAACAGTTCTTGCTGTAAATTCATTGGCAACAAAACCAATAATGAGTTTGTATTTTAAATATCTTTTAATGAAAGTAAGGCCGATACTTCTTATAGCCAGAGTAGCCTGACATTTATCTGGCTGCTTTCCAAAAGTCTACGTATCCTCAGATTTTATTGACCTGAAAAACCTTCAGAAAACAGGCCTTTTTATGCATACTTGGCTGCCTCACTCTCAAGTAATCAAGTCACAATATTTGGGATCAGCCAAATGCCTTCCTCAGCTCCTGAATAGCTTCACTTCATGTTCACTTAACATTAACATAATTTTAAATATATATATGTATATATATATATATATATTTACCTGCAATGAACCACTATTGGGCCACTAAAAAAGTTGCTGAGAGCATTAACTCTGCGTCGGAGTTTGAGAAGGAGATGCGGATCCTCAGGGACTCCATGGTCTGGCCAGCTTGTGAACTGAATATGTGTGACATCTCTTCCAGCTGTCCTTTCTCTTGCCTAGACAAGTGAAATGGGCTTTTTAATATATATATACGCACACACACAAAGCCAAAATCAAGTGCAGATAGACAAAACGGAAGAAAACTAAGGGCAACAGTCATCAAATGTTGAAACAGAAATTTCAAACAGTGTGTTGTAAAGTTGTAATCCCCATGGTTGCAACATTTTTCATTTTCAGTTTTAATTAAAAAATATCCATGAATCAGGAATACACAATGACTCCAACAGAGGCCAAGCAGGAGGTTCAAAGTGTTGCTAAGAATACCTTTTTCTCAGGTTAGCCTATGATCCAGAGTATAATATATCTCCCCACTATATTCATAAACAACTTAGCCAGTGTATAGCTCTGCTTACTTCAAGGGGTACAGGTTAGTAATCCCTTTATGTCTCCTAGGAGTAGCCTGTTGGGGGTACAACAGTTTAAGGATTTTTTTGGTTTGGGTTGTGGTGGTTTTTTTTTAACTGTAACTCAGACTTCTACGGTTTAGAAATAGATACAAGAAAACCTATGATTTTCAATGAGACTGACTCTCTTAAGTCACTTGATTAAAGCTTAAAGCATGTTAAGTCTTGAGTCCTACTTTCAAATATTGCTTCCAGATTGAAAGAGAGGACATATATTTCAATAACCATGAATATAAAACAAAATGAGAAAGACATCTCACTGGCATTCTTTCACTGGCCAAGTTTTAGTAGGGCTATATAGGCATTTCCCCTGTAATTAACCCCCAAATTTTAACTCAAAGTTGAATTATCCCATTGTGGCACAGTTATTCATACAGTTAATTGCCATCGTTTCAGTAATTGTACATCACTATTCCACCAGAACTGCAGAAGTCTCCACTTTCTCACCACGGACCACTCTTAAACTTCACAACCAAGATCAGCTTGTCTATATTAATATAATGGCAGCTGAACAGAGAGCAAAAAAGCTCTAAAAATTCGTCCTCAACCTGCAGCCATTTCTCATTTCTAATGTCAGATTGTCCTAGTTACAGAGCAATGTCTGTGTTAACAGTTAATTCTTAACATCCTGATATTCTCACTGTCTTCGCACTAAGTTACAACTTTCTTTCAATCAGACCAATTCCTGAGTAAATTTTAATGCAGCATGAGACAGCAGAATAGGAATATCCAGCTGTAATCACTGATTCAGATGGGTGGAGTCTGTTGCTTGACTATTTTGCTGAAGATGTGTCAGGAGATTTACTCTTTGAGTCTTAATGCTTTTAGCTATGACTTATGCTCCATTTAACCCTCACTGAAATATTTTTGCAAAGGGCCTGAGAGGAGCATTTAGCCTTAGACAGCAAATTTTGTTCTCAATTACCCACAGAGCAACTGATGTAATTTCAGATGTATAAAAGAGAGCAATTAACCAGCCTTAATGATTCTACACATAGCAAAATTGTAATTTTAAAACACTTATGTTTATAAATGCACTTGAGATTACCAGAATTTGCAATTGTCCCCCTGTATGACTATCATGAGGGTAGATAATGGTGCTCTGTAAGTCACACTGATTTTAGTGGCAGAAGGTTATGCTGCGATACACATAAACCGGTAACATTTTTGTGTTGAGGAACTAGCTAAACATTTAATGAAAACACAGTGTATTAAGTTTTCCATACTTAACAGCGTATTAACAGTTTCTTCTTAAATGTAGTTTCCAGAGTACTAAGGAAAATACATTTTTAAGCTGGGAAATATATGTCTAGCTCATATTTCTTATAAGGAATGACACATACATCTAAGAAGTTTTCTCTTAAACTATATGTTGCTTAGGGAAAAACAGCAGAGCATCTTCCATTGATCGCTGACTCTTCTCCTCTTAAAAGGGTCTCTCAATGATACTTAGAGAATCCAAATAGACACTCCAATTCCAGTCAGTCTTACATATTTGAATTAACTTACATTTGTGATATGTAGTTTCTGAATGACATAGTCTGGACACGTTTTACTTTCATTGATCTTCACAATGATGTCCCCATATGTTGCAGAGCCATTCTCCATTGATGGCCAGTACTGGGCACATTTGTTCTATGAAGATATGAAGTTAGGTGAGTGGCATGACAGCAAAGTGGCAGAGAACTGAGAGCTATAAGAAAGTCTGGTTTAAAATAAATGGCAACTCAGTATATTTCCAAATTCTCACAGGTCTTGTCTTCTCCTGAAAAGGCTGTCACTACTTAGGATGTAAGTGCTAAATAATTCCAAATATTCAACAATTCAGGTCTCTGACCTGAAGTTTACGCCCGTGGAATTTAACTTGAAACGTAAAGTGGTTAAAAAATCCTGTAGACTAGTGGAAAAAGTGAACAGCTACTGTTTCTGTTGCCTGAAGTCTGTAGAAAAGTTTGCAGCTACTTCTGTAGCTTCTTTTTCAGTCTTCCTGAGGGACATTGCTCCTGCCTGCCTATAACATCAACTTTGTGATGCTGTAAATCTGCATGCTGCCAATCTTTTTATCTTTAAAAGCAGTTAAAACAGCAGTTTCTCTTCTTCTGCTGTACCTGGTATAAGGAACAAAAGCAAGCCAGAAGCACCTAACCTTCCAGTTAAATAAAGGGCAAAGACAATAGATTAAAAAAAAAATTCTGTCTAGGATTTACTGAGGGCATTGCCAGGATATCAGAAGGAGACAGGAGAAAAATATAAACCATGCTTTTTATGACAGGTCTGTAAGGAGCTATACTTCTACCTTGAGTCCTTCTCTGGGTTTATTGGCTGTAATTTAAAAGCTCACCCTCTGCTGCTTATAGCTGTGACTAAAGTGACAATTTCTGGTAAGACTGGTAATTCCATAAAGCAACACCATTTTGGCATGCTTTCCAACATAGGTTCTGCCACAAGAGAACAGCAAAGAATGAAAACAAAGTACTAAGAAGAAAATGTAATTCACCACAGCACAGCAACTCATTCTGTTTCAGACAAAAGAAGGATGCAAAGATGGATGGAGGGATGGATGGAAGGATGGACAGATGGATGGATATTTCTCACCCTCTTTCCTTCCTCACAGCGAGTCACCATGACAATAATGGTTGCCTTCTGTTCCCAGATCATTCTCCAGAAATCATCCGTGGTTTCATCCTTGGGGCCTAGCAGGAGATATTTTAAGGCAATTCTTCAAAGAGTGCAGCTACATGAAAAAAACATGTTCTTGACATGCTTAGACATACAATCTGAAAAGCTAACCAGAGGTCATGCAAATCACAGCCACACACTTGATTTCATTATGACTGCTGCCATTAGGTTCCAGCATTTTAAAAGTCTCGTCTATATCTTCAGTACATAGCTGTGAAATCTGAAAACTTTTGGTGTAAATTTATATATCATGAGAAATCTGCCCTTGAAGTACAATTTATTCATCTTCACAAAATTCCCTAAGCAAAAACTCGTTGGTAACTTTTTCATATTAAATTTCCAAGTGTCAGGTATTCAGTTTTCCTTTAAATTTACTAACACTTTTTACTATTCTCTAACAAAAAAATGGGTGAATAAAGAAAGCATACTCTTTTAAGATTAAAAATTACCTTGTGCAGCAATATATTTTCTTGGTTCTTTGAAGCCCTATAAAAAGTACAATGTTATCAGCTTTTAGAAAGGAAGGATGAACAATTTAAAAGATTTGCAACTTTAAAAATAAATGCAACATGCCACAGTCCAATAATACCGAATACATTACAAAGATAGAAAGAACTCAAATGGAAATCCTCAAAGCCGTTTGATGCCTGAAATGCACATAGTAGAGAATTTCTTCAATAGTGCCCAAGACTTATTTTAAGTAGAAGTCACTCACATCAATATAACTTGCATTGATATAGTCTGATCCTGGGTCTCCGGGGATCTCTGAGAGCTCAACACGGTTATGATCATCTGTTTAAATCATTTAAAACAAAATAATTATATTACCTCAAGGCAGTGAGAAAACAAATATTTATAAAACATGCAAAAATTGTAACAAATACTCACATGGAAGGATATCGATGTAACGGTTTTTATTCTGATTATGGCTTTTTTTGGCCTCCTTTATTGAAAATTTAGTGAAAACTCTAGGAATGCTCTGTAAAATACGACGTTTCTTTTATTAGGTAAGCATATATTTAAAATAGCTGCTACTTACAGTCAAATGCATATGGAAGAAATTTGGTACTGCTGAGTCTGGAAGATAACATTGTTTCATATGATACTGCTTCATGTACTTCTTACATCTAAAATAAACAAATTTCTTTTCCCTTAATATAAATTATACATATCTCCACAATTATATATTATTTATATCCCCATGGCTATGCAGCAAGAGAGAGTATTAAAAAATATGCATTAAAAAATACTTTAGAATGAGAAGTATTTAGACTGTGTATTTTATACTTTTGCTGAAAAATACCTTCAGGGGGAAGAGGTCTCTTATAATGAGAGCTTGGTAGCAAAATTAATTGAAGCCTATTTGACCTTAGATAAGAATTCACTCAATTTTCTAGATTCTTTTTTTTTTAATTTATTTATAACCAGTGCATATACTTCAATCGTGCTCTTGAACAGAATTCTTCCAACCACGTTGCTACAAATCTGTGGTATATTTTGAGCCAATGACAAACCTGAAATTCATCCAAGAAAAGTCTTCCTTCATCAGCAATCTTCCTCTTGTACGTGTCCAGCAATTGCTCCGAAGGTATTGGCTCTATGTTCAGAAGTTGCCTGTCATCATCTTTAACTGTGTAAACACATTGAATATTTATCGTTACTGACTTTGAAAATGTAAATTACATTTCAGGAAAAGTGATTCTCAAATTGTCAGATAAATTAACAAAAGGACAAATATCAAATATTTTAGCTAAACATGTTTAGTTAAAAAAAAAAAAAAAAAAGGTGTTGCCTAAGCCAGCTGTGAGCAAACAGGCCCTGAGAATAACAGAACTTGTTCAGCTCTGCCGCCTGACTGGAGGCACCTCAGGAGGAAGCCACGTGCTGGGACATTGCATTAATAGTGCTTTTGGACAAAGTGGCAATTGTCACATTCAGGTCTCAGCAACAGCCCCAACACCCACAATAGTTACATGGCCTTGCCCTCTACTTCAATTCTGATCATTTATCATCAGTGGTACAGTGATAATGACAATAAATCATGAACAAATTACTGTGCAAACAGCCTAAAAATGTAAAAACACGTATTCCCTACTTTTCCAAATCTTCACTACCTTATTCTATGAGTTGCAATAACCTCTAATACCATCTTTAATGACAAAGTAATTGAACAAGCTTTAACATCTCTAACTAGATATTTATTCATTTTTCATATACATTGAAAAGATTATTTTTTTTAACAACTGTGTGTCTAAGCAAATGGATTTGAATATTACTTCCTATTTAATGTAGCTAATTTCTTATATGTCATAAATTATTTTTTTCTTGAAGCTTTTTGGTAGTGACTGATTCTGTGTTTCTTTGTAGGCTTTGAAATCTTGTGCAAAAAGTTGCACGTAATGTTCAGTTTCAGTCTTTGAGATTTAAAAGCCTTCAAAATTTTGCAGTAAAAACCAATTGGCTTATGTTCAAATTCTTGCTTTGAAAAAGGTGCACAGGAAAGGGAAATTCTGGTTGAAGCTGTATTTTATTCTGGACTCATTCCCAGGGTTAAACATATCACAACCATCATCTGGGATAATGAAATCGGGTTTGTAATTAAATAATAAATGAGAGTTTTTCAAACACTGATAAAATTCCTGTTTATTTAAGTATAAATACTTCTTCTATGTATTTACTGAAGTACTTTTTTCTCCAAATGAGGTGTTACCATGTCGATATCTGTAATCTGTGTATACAACCTAGAATGTAACCAATCCAAAGGTGGCAGCAAGACATGTGACTAATTTTATTTCCACTTGCTAAATATATAAAGATACTCACCTGCAACAAGGTTCACACCTTCAGAAGAATTGCTGTAAGAAGGAAAAGCATCTGTAAAAGCTTTGACTAGTAAGACACAGACATGATAATGAGTTAAATAAAAGCAATTTTGTATGTGAACACGGAGACTGTTTATAACCAGCAGCCCGCATTAGAAGCTTGCTGTGAAACAAGAGGGCTACAACTGGGACTTACAGACCCTGCGCAGAGGTGGTTGGGGTGCTTGTCTTCCTGCTCTGAGCGCTATTGAGAGGTAGAAGCAAGGGAACCGCATCAAGCAGCTTTACCACTGGCACTAATTTGCCCATACCACCTGCAGCATATGTCTTTAATTTCTTCACTGGAGTGACTGCTCACACTATCTTTGTTTCTTTTGCTAAATAAGTTACAAAAAACCTAACGCATACATAAAATATAATGAAATTAAGTTTAAATGCTAAGTAGCCAAGAACAAGACAGACTCTCTGAGCAAAAATAAGTTTTCCTTCCCTAAGCATAAAAGTTTGCATCTGAGCAAGAGCAGCTCCCTGTCCCCTTAAGGAGAAGAGCAGGGTGGAAGAGATGAGTCCCCAAGTTCTGCTGTTGCCAGAGGCCTGAGAGGTTTCTGAAGAAGTTGCCTTAACACCTCCCTCTCTACCAGCAGCTAATGCCCCCCTCAGACATTGCACCACCTCCATTTGCAGCAACAGCAGCAGTCAGCCTGGCTTTCCAGGGCTCTGGCACAGCCATCAGGGAAGGCACTGACAACTCTTCTATGGCCATCCACTGTCCTACAGAACTGCCAAGTTGCCTAGAGATAACTATAATAAACAAAGCCTCCCTGAGATACCGCTTTGTGTGAGTAAGCATTTGAAAGTGTTCCAATAAAGTGTGTGTTAGTTTCATTACTTTTAACTTAAATCATGAAGAAAAGGTTTTCCAGATATTTGTAAATATTTGTTCACAAAACTGGTGACAAAACATTTTTGATCTAGCAGATCAGTTCTTCTGTGTCTTGAGGAAAGGTATAGCAGAGAGATTTTAAATCTATTTCATTATATTTGCATTGCCAGGGGAAAACACCAAAAATTGAGTTTCTTTTAAAAGGCTTAAAAGAGAAAAGGAGGTCTTTCCCAAAAACAATGAAATATCAAACTTGTAACATTTTTGCACTACCCATTGGGAAATCTTGTGGAAAACCAGAAAGCCTCCCCCCACTCCTCCCCCATTTATATAAGAGAGGGAGAGAAATAGGAAACTTACCCAAGCTTTTTGTTGTGAAGATCATAGATTTTGTATAGAACCAGTAGTAAAGCAATTGACGTCACAATGATCAAGAATGCCAAAAATGCAATCAGGGCTTTAGAATTATCTAGCAACAGAAAAAGAATACATTTATTATTTCTTGAATACATAATTAATGGCATTTAAAATTACATTTTTTTTCCTTTTTTTTCTTAATCTGTATACTTCCTAGAACCAGCGATTATTGAAAGGAACTAAACAATTATTTTTAAGTGTTTAGTTTGTTTGTTATTCCAAAGTGCCCAAAACTTTCAAGCTTGCAGAAAAGGAGGGAATTTTATTTCTTCATTAAGCAAACTTTCACTTACATTCCCTATGTCCACCTCTCTAAATGCTACAACTCACTCACTGGTTCGGCATTACCATGGTTATCTTCTGCTCTGTGTGATCTGTACACCTGAGCAGTGGAGCTCTCGGCTGCTCCTGATCTGCGAGTTGGGAATCCCTGACAAATCATGGATATTCAGCTCCTGAAATGCAGGATCTGAACACAGGAAAGGAATCCTAAAGTTAATAATTTAAGTTAGAGAAGTGAATTTCTAGTTGCATTCAAATGTTTCCTAAAGAAACCACAGCTGTGTAATAATTCTGAATTATGGTCAATGACTTGTCAACACAATCTGTTACATTAATGCTGAATGACAATATTATTTTTTCAAATGCAGACCAACTATTAACTATAAAAAGAGGCAGTTTGAATTTTTAGTTAGGAGCAACTCTAATGGAATTGACAATTTACACTACTACGCTATACTATGCTAAGTCTGAAAGTAAAAATGCTGAATATAATTACTTACATCTGGTTTTTATACTCTTCCTTACTGGTTCCCCTCTATAGACTCCATTATTCACTAAGATCTGCATGCAGTGGGTGAGAATAATACAGATATTAAGATTTAACAAGTAAAATTTTTTGCATACTTAAAAAAAAAAAACAATGCACAATAGGTATTCAAAACATCCATCTGTTTTCAATGAATCCATTTCATTGACAGCAGAATCTGCTGTCAATCTTTGCATAGCCATTTATAGTGCAGCTCAGGTTTCCACCTAAGTTACAGCAAGATCTAAATCTAAAACTATGTAGATGACTAGAAAAAACAGAGAAATTGGAAACACATTTTACAAAATCAAATTCAGATGTATCTCAGGGAAAAAAATCTGAATTATCTCTTATCAAATCAAAATCAAATTTCTCAAAACCAAAAAATAACCATGCAATATGTAATAAAATATCATTATTTTATTTGCTTCAATGTTAAATATTCAACTGAATTGGATATTGTTAAAAAAAGTTCCTGTATAGGAAGGAATTAAGAAAAGGTTAAATTACAGAAGCCAGACTAAACTTATAAATAAGCTACTTACCTGCCACATTAACTTTTGGGTACTGTAACTAGTGTTAAAATACTATGTTTAGATGTGTTTATATTTCATAATATATTTTACATTTATCCAATCTTTTAAATTTCCTTAATAGAAATTCCTATCAGATCTAATAGGCATCTTGACGTTTGTATGTCAAGTATTTCACGCTCTTCTTGTGAAGAAAACTTAATCTTACGATTAAACTTAAAAATTTAATCCTAAACAGTGGAGAAGACTAACAGGATTGAATAATAGTGATTTTAATAGTAATAGTCTCCTGCTGCAAATCATCCAAAGGGGAGGAGAAGGGCTTTCAGCATCATTGCTGACAACAGGCTGAGTTCTTACCGAGCCTACCCGATCCTCTAAGAGAAACCTCTCCTGAAGGCCCAGAGGAGCATGCCCACAGCTCCCACCCTCTGCTCTAAAGGGCCGATGTGTTCAGGGTGGTTTCTGAATTCTGCACCAGGGAAGAAAGCCATGGTAGGTGGCAACATCCAGAGGTGTAGCAGAAATGGCAGAAACTAGCAAGAAGCTTCTCAAATAGCAAAAGCCAGAAACCTAGTGCAGCAGTCAGGGTCAAAACATCACTAAACCAAAATGTGTGCAGGGCAGGCTCCTGTTTATTCCCTGAACAATTCAGCGGGCAGAGAGAAGGGAATTGTGACATCCGCCAGCTCTCACAGCTGAGCTGGTTGTTTTTTCTTGAGCCTTCCATAACTTGGCCCACAATCCTTTCATTACTAGTTAAGGTCATAAAGCTTTCTCTGTTCTTCCAGTAAGAATTGGGCAAATTAAGTTTGAAGCAGAAGCCAGGGTATAGAGCCAAGCAGAAGCCAATTTCTTCTTTAAGGCAAACTGCTCACTGCAAGTGGTGTACAAAAAGCTTACAAGAGTGCAGGGGTCTCATACTATAGGGCCAATGCAAGCATCTTTTGCTCCTTATAGGACCTCATCTTTATTTTCCAAATACAAAGCTTTCTGAGCAGACTCTGTCAGAAAAATACTGACAAAGCCTTGGAACAAAATCTGGACTACTCAAGTTCTCTGATACTGCATTTCTTCAAGAAGACACCAAGAAAAGAGGAAACGACTTTGGAAAATGAGTGAAACTGGTTCCTAAAAGTAATGAAACTTCATCGTTCCTACTGGCTACTTTCTCACCAAAACTTTACTGAGAGGAGCTATCAGGATATGAAAAATACTGGCCACATTGGGGGGATTACATAAGACCATTGGCTTTGCAGCCAACAAATGCCCAAAGGGTGAAATATGTGAAGGAAGAGAACATAGCAGGAAGCCTTCAGGAAAGGGATGCTTGTAAACAGAGGATGATACATTTTGCATGGAAACAAGGACTGGCTTGTAAAAGGCTCATGTAAGGACACGCAAAAGGATCTGAACTGGGTTACGCTAACTAGTCCCTGAAGCATCCAAAATCTTCCCAGCGAAAAATTCTGAACAATTGATGTCTGAGCAATTATCTCAAGACTTAAATCTCATATTTATCCTCTGATTGAAACGATGGACATATTCATTAAATGAAATGTGTTTTAAACACTAAAATATCAGTTAGACTTAAATTATTTTAAAACTTATGGAAATCCCAAATTTCTCTCTGTCCCAAGTACAATCTATTCATCTTGTATTTTTCATGTTGACAGAACCTATGTGCAATAGCACCCAAGGGACTGAGTGATAGGCACTGCACATACGCATTTTATTTCTGAGGTAATAGCTACTTCTTTGCATCTGTGGCCTACCAATCCATAGATTAACTCCTCTGCCACCATGTATCCTTTTTTCCTAAAATGCTAAAACAATGAAAATACAGCAATATTTTTTATATTGAATTTAATAAGCCTACTTACCTTAAATGTATAGTTTGTCAAGTACAAGAGATCTTTTCTTTCAAACTTACAATAAGTGGTTTGATTTTCCACTTTTCCATCATTTTCCCAAGTCAATTCAAATATTGTTTTTTCTCCGTACACTTTTTGACTTTTGCAACTAATTTGGATAGCGTTATCAGCTGACAGTGTTGCATTCACATCAGTCACTGGCTGTGGTTCTGTTCACAAAAGAAGTGTTACCGGTTTTATTCTCATGATTTCAAACTAAAAATTTCAACAGCTCTATGTGTTCATGACTGTTTGTTACTTTCTGTCTTAATAATTTTATCCATTTTTCCCCTTAAAAATTTCAGTCCCGATTTAATAAGAGAAATAAAATAAATTTTGAGTTAACCATAGGCTTATCTGAACTGGAAAAGGTGTGAAGTGGTACTGAAAAAGCTGGGAAGATCGGAAATAATATGATGGCAACTGTCTCTCATGTGTCTGACATCACTTTCTCATTTGAGGAACATAAGACAACAGACGAGACAGGGGAACAGTTTTCTGCCTGAGTGTATGTTTCAAAAATTCTGTAAATGAAATTTCCTATCAGGAGTTACTAGTATATTTTAATATTTGGAATAGTATCCTTTTGCTTAAACTGTGACATTGTCTTAAAGCTGGCCTAAAACCACAAAAACTTTTTACTTTTTAATGCTAAGGAATCTATTAAGGAATCTAATCTGTGTTTTCTAACTCTAATTTTGTACTTTGTAGCAAATGGATTTCAGCCTCGGGGCGCAGCTCAAGAGACCTTTCATTGAAAACTTATAAAACCTTTCAGAAAGTAAATAACCTTCTGTGTGAGACAGGTCAATTAGCCACATTTCAGTAGACCACCACCATGGAAATTTTCTTCAAAATCACTTCTATTTGCAAGCTAGCATGTTAAAAAAAAAAAAAAAAAAAAAGTAAGGGGCAGGTGCTTTTTTTTTTTTATATGAAGAGCTAAAACATGTAAGGCTTTATGAGCAGATGAAATATCCCATGTGGGGAGTGGCAGGATATTTTACTTGGCTGAGTGTGCGGTTACAACCTGTCTGCTCGTTTTTATCCACAGGGCAGATTTGTTAGATTCCTATTCAGCATAATACTGAAAAAGCTGTGACAAGGAGAAAGTGAATGTTTCTGGAGGCAATGTGTTTGTTGAAGATGAAAAAATATTTTATAAAATGTAGTTTTTTTCTGTGTCCAAGGAGTTGTGCTCTATGGATATTCTCTTGTTCGAGAAGCCATAAAACTCTTCCACTATCTGCTTGATCATGTTATTAACTGTTGTAACAGTTGGAGAAGGTTTAACAAATACCATTAATTCATGAAGGCAAGTGGATTGTTATTTTCTCAGAAAAACAACTGGGGTTGTTTTCCAGTAAACTTATATTGTAGACTGTAATCTTCACCTGAGTTATTAAAATATGAGTGGAGCCCCAGAAAAGGGGGGCTCCAAAATATAGTATGCTCAAACTAGATTATCACAGGGAGAAAAATCATGATCATGCTCAAATTAGGGCCGTCTGAAGATTAAAGACATTTTTCAATTTCTGTTACATTTAAGTCTCAGATCAAATGGTTTTACATTATCGATTCATTTCTCAGCCTTTTTCTTCCCCCCATGGGACTTCAGGTAATAACTCTGATCCCTGTGTTCTTCCAACTATAAACTAAATTTTGTTAACTCAATGACCCGGAGTAATAGGGAGATTCCAATGTTTTCATGTATTGTCTATAAAACTGGATACAAAGCTCTATATATTCCATAGAGAGATAGGATTCAAATTCAAAACAATAGTCTGCCAGAAGTCCCTGTATTTCCCAAAGCTCTATAGAAACATGTTTAATAAAAACAGCAGTCAGATTTAATCTTCTTATATATCCATTTCCACATACTTTTCAGGGGTCCTAAAAGCAACAAAAGATTTAATTATTCCTCCTATTAGGAGAAAAAGAATCACCACTTTATCATTACATCACTAGCATGCAAAAAAAATTCTTTTTCAATAAAAAAAATTCTTTTGCTTATTCAGTGAAATTAAAGGAAATATTAATTTAGTATCTTACCGGTTATAAACCACTATAGTTTCCCTATAGCTGTGTGTCTATACATATACAGTCTGGAGGTGGTGGAAGTAGAGTTAAAAAAGTACTGGAAGAAAGAAGATAAACATGGGGGGTTGTGTGGCTTTGGTTTTGTTTGGGTTTTCTTCTCTCTCAAAGAAGGAATTAAAACACTACAAGACTATATCTGAAGACTAGAAGGGGAAAAAATAGAAAGGACACTGTCTCTATTATGCCTATTCTGCGTCAGGAAAATATCTGCAGAGCGTGTTGATTTTGTTGTTTTTTTATGAACTTCTCTTGTAGTTCTACCAATTGAACACGTATGGCAAACAAAGAATCAGGACCATATGGGTAAGCTTTTGAAAGTATAGCCCCAAAAAGGTTCACAGACCTTTCTGACAGCACACGTGTTGGCACACATTTGGTTTTAACCCAATGTGGAGTCTTAGAAGCCGACTGCGTACGCGTACATCCAAACTAACCAAAAGCCAGTACAGGTATCAGTATTGGTGTAGCCCTGGGTAGTGCAGCTCTGCTTTGAGCAAACAGACAACTACAGAACAGAAGGTACACTCTGTGCGTCTTTATAGCTTTCATGCCCTGAAGAAAAAAACCTAATGTTTTTCCTTCCCTTTTTATTTAATTTGAATCTTTTCTTTAGATTGGAGCATAATGCTTTCTAACAGCTTATCAAGAATTTCAAATGAATGCAGATTTTTTTTAAAAAAAATCTAGAATATAAGAAGAATACTAATACTAAATGAGTAATAAAAATAGATTAACATTAAGTAATTAAACAAGAAACTAATTATATGAATGTCAATATAATTATTTTAACGTTAATCAGTTTCTTGGCTAATAGTAATAACATATATAAAATATAATGAAGTACAATAAGAAAGTACATATTCCCTGTGTATCAGCCTTGTTCATAACAGTTAGCAAACAAGAGACTTACGTGCTGGTTTTGTTTCAAAGCTACGTTTTTCAGTTTTTCCCTTAAATTGACCACGATTATATTTGCTGTTTGTATATGGAGTCACAGACACTTCACCCCGGCTATAAGGTTCTAACTTGTTGAAAGTACAGTTGACTTCTTCTCCTGTGTTCTGGACATCCTGAGGATCTGAAAAATGAAATTAATTAATGAAATTAATGAAATTTCTGTTAGGAGCACAGGAACTCTTACATTTCATCAGAGTTACCTGAAACCACTGTCATGTGTACTTCTTAATCACCTTGTAACTGGTTGGTTTGCCTTGCTTACTAATGCTAAGTGAAGGCTCAAGAAGAAGAAGAAATATATTCCCCAATCAAAAAGGTAGAAAGTTGAGGTTTTGTTCTGTTTTGCTTTTTGCTTTCTCATTATGTCATTTAAATGGGTGTAATTAAAAGCTAACATACAGTGCATTGATAAAGAGAGGCTGACTCTTCTGTGTTCAGCTTGGGAAGGGGCTAGTAGACAAATGTCAAAAGTCACTCTGCACACTGGGCAAGTGTGTTCTGGGATGACACGAGAGATGTCACGTGCAAACAGGTAGTGGCAAGCAGGACAGAAAGGAATTGCATGAGAAGCAACATGAGCAAAGCTATTACCCACACTGCAGCTGGAGCTTTGGTGGTTTGGGGAACTGGGGAGCAATGGCCTTGCCATGTTTCCTTCTGGCTGCTTCACACATGACCTCCCTGCATCCCAGCATACTGCCTTGGTACTCTACACTGACCAAGCCAGACCTACCACAGGAAGTGGTGCATGGGGCTGCCACCCTTGTGGGTAGTGGTCAAATTTGGGACATGGGGAACGGGAAAGATTTTTTGTGCCCGGGGAGCGCATGAGCATGACAGCCTTTAGTCCCTGTAGCAGTCTGGGTTTACAAAACATGCAATATGTGAACTGAAAGAATGAATTAACCCAGGACCAGCTTAAACCTGACATATATTTCCTAGAATCATGTAACAGGCTCTTCATTTTCAAAACATCATTTTCCAGTCCTTGTTTTGAAAAAAAAAACTCACACCTGGAAAACATGGTCCCAGTATAATGGATACAGACTTAGTCACCTAAATGTAAAGTGGCCTAAGCCAGCATATCTGAAAGGGGTGACCGTTAAGTATAAGACAGCCATCTGGCTTTACCTATATAAACATGTATATGTTAACTGCCATACTTAGGACCTCTGACTTTTACGTACACTGTTGTTACTCAGAAGGCAAGTCCCTGTCTTCTCAGAGAATATATTAACCGGCTATAGCAGCATTTTGAGACAGAGCACCATGCCACAAACTGATCAGACAACTGATGATCTTGTCATAACTTATTCTTAATACAAGAATGAAGGGTGACAGAGTTGTGTCCTGAAATGGTCAACTGAATAACAACATGGTTCAACTGGAACAACCTCAAAGGAAAGAAACTTCAACATTTGTACAAAAAAAAAAAAAAAGAATCTGCAGAGTTTGAAGAGATTGCATCATGGTTTGACAAGGCATTATGCTTGGTACTCTGTAAATACTAAAACACGCAATGAGTTATTCAATACTGAAGGGGCATATACTACCTTTGTTACTGCATGTCACATTATAGCCATGTATAGGACCCTTTGAAGTGTTTCTAGGCTTCTTCCATGTAACAAGTATACTTGTGGCATAAGTAATTATTGTAAGGTTTTCTGGTGCTTCTGGATCTGTTGTAAAAGGAAAATAATGGGGAGGGAAGGCAATGTTTAAATGAAAATGCAAAATATTCCTCTTTTTACCTACTAAAGACTATTTAATTCAAAGAAATTTTACATAAGTATAAACTGAGTATATCGAGGTGCTGGAGATGGTCCAGAGAAGGACAACAAAGCTGGTGAAGGGTCTTGAGAATAAGTCTTACGAAGAGAGGCTGAGGGACTTAGGGCTATTTAGTCTGAAGAAAAGGAGGCTGAGGGGAGACATTATGCTCTCTACAACTACCTGAAAGGAGGTTGTAGAGAGGTGAGTGTTGGTCTCTTCTCACAAGTTACAACCGATAGGACAGGAGGAAATGGCTTCAAGTTGCACCAGGGGATGTTCAGGTTAGACATTAGGAAAAACTTCTGCACTGAAAGGTTTATCAAATACTGGAACAGACTGCCCAGGGAAGTGGTTAAACCGCCATCCTTGGATGCGTTTAAAAGCCGTCTATGTATGCTATTCAGGGACATGGTTTAGAAGTGGGCCTGGTAGAGTTAGAAAACAGTTGGACTTGATGATCTTAAAGGTCTTGATATTAGAGCAATTTCATAAATTTAATTAATTCAGGACAAGGTGAATACAGCAGTATCACATATGACTAAAATTGTCCAGCATTTCCAAATTTTACACATTTTTATCATTTTCTTATTATTTTAGCAAACTTTAAATGTTTTGCCTGAATTTTTATTTGCAGGTTACTTGGTTTCAGTTGATTTCCTTTTTAATTCAGAAAAAAAGGCTAAGCTATTTCCAAGGACAATATTTTGGAAAGACACATCATTTTATCTGGAGACAGTCTTTGCAATTATTCTATCATATGTTTCTTCAAATTAAGAATTTAACACGTGTTTTTGACTAGGCCTGCACTTTTTTTTTGGTCTTCACTCAAACTTCCTTACATTTGGGTATGTTCTCACCCTCAAAAAAAAATGTATCACAATCTCTGAGAGAAGAAGAGGAAGGCATCAGACTGGAAGACTGAGACTGGGGCTGGAGCGGGAAAGGAAGACCATGACTGCAGTCAATGAACAACCACAAGGGCAGGAGTCCTGGTGGGAGGAGCTGGAGAAGAACCTGGGAGTGGCTGAGCATGCTGCTCAAAATATATCTTCAACCCCAGGAAACACAAATAGTGGGATTCATAGTAGGGTTTTCCAGAAATATGTGGAACATAAAGCAAAAATAAGCATTATACTTACCACCATAATCTGTTGTTATGTTGAAGCTTTGGTTGGCAACCTTATTTTCAAAAAAATATATGGTACCATGGCAGTTGTACCTATGGTTAGGTGATAAAGTGTTCAGTTGTTTACAAGTTTGATTTAATTCTGAATTAAATTCTAATTTTCTTCTACCTGTGACATCTGTAGACACAAAAAGAGTTTTATCAATATTTTTCACAACTCCAGAAGTACATGGTACTGGGATTTTCTGTACCGTGTTTATTCAACATAATTTGTAATAAGATATCATATTATTCCAAACAGAAAAGTGTACAGCCTAATCCAATGACTGGCTTTTAGGTTCTTTTATACTAACTTAGTTTGCTTAGATCTTTACTTTTCACCAGTAAAGCTTATATGATTTGGCTTTCTAAGAAAACAGTTTTCCCACAGAGATCAAAACATTTCATGGGAGTCTGGCAGAACCCTGGAGTGGCTTCACAGCTCTTCAGCTACCTGAACCATGAAATTTCCAGCCCTGGACATTCATCACGCATTTTTCTGGGACACATGAGGACATCCAGCATCCATATCTTCCCTACCACACTTGCTGCCTTTGAGACAGTGTCCTCAAGCTGGCCTGCTCCAAGAGCAGAGACCCTGGACTCTCACCATCCAGCAGCCTGCAAAGCCAACTGCCTGGGTAGTCTTCAGGGGATCAGCTCACAGCAGGTCCACAGATTGCAGGATTTCCAAATTCCCAGCACCCCTTCAGACCATCAAGCAGGACCTCAAAACCTTCACAAGTCTGCAATTTGTGAAGCTGGTAAACTGAGAAAATGAGCTTTCTGGGTTTGAACTTTCCCCATATCTGCAGTGTATGGGGATAGTAGTCCCCAACCTATCAATCCCAGAAATTCTGAACAGCGCTTCCCTCAAACTGGCACAATTAATTTAAATCTGCCAATCTCTTATCAAATATAACATCAATATCACTTTTAAAAATAAATTCCTAAATAAATAGTCAACTTTTAAAACATCTTAGAAGTGTCTTACCTTCGCAGCTAACAGTCACATTAGCACAGTCAAATGACTTATCCCAACATAAGTTTGCAGATGTGTCGGTATTATGCATAACTGTGAAAGGATCATTTCTTTCTTCTGAAAAAGATTAATATTATATGTCACTGTGACATTGGCTATATTGATTCTTTAAATAGCAATTTGTTCTTTAATATTTGTTGACTTGTTCTGCAATATGAAGATACGATTGGCACAGAATAATATACAAAGAATTTAACAGTAAATGGAAAGTAAAAATTAAAAAAGCCTACCTGAGATGAAGAAAATTCTGGTATTGAAATAATAAATAGAACTTTTAATCCAACAATCTCTTTAGTGAACAAAACATCCAGCATAAATAGTAGCTTTCAAGCACTGGCTGGTCTTGCTATTGCTAACTATGCTGCATATGGCCAACATAGTTAAAGTTCCCTTTTTTCCTTTACAATGAGAAAATTACATTTTTGAACATTCTACTTTAAGAAAATACCGAGAGGTTTTAAAGTGTCACTTCAAAATGCAAAATATCTTGCAAACCAAGCACAAAGTATGAAAACCTTCTGTCTGATTCTCTGAAAAGAGTCAAGAATAGACTAAGAAATCCAGGAAAGTTGAAGTACTGCATGTCAAAACAAACAAACAAACAAACAAAACAAAACCCTACTACAACCCTTCTATACCTACCAGGTGGAATATCAAGATAAATGTCTGGGCAATTTTTAACTTGAACTGTGTATCTCTTGCATCTCTGAAGTTTTATTGTGCTGGAACTCATATTGAAGCTCTCGTTAGTTTCCAAAATAAAATAATCTCTGTTTTCTCTAAGATTTTTCAGTGTAACTTCAAACATGTTATTCTCATCTTTTACACTTCCAGTTATATTGTATTCAATATGATCATCTAAAAGAAAAAGATAAAATAGCAAACAATGATTTTATCATAATTTTTAAGAACCATTAAATGTTTTATGGCACCCCCAGCACCATATGTATTTTAAGAATACAACAAAATTAGCTGCTCCTTATTCTTTAATTTATTTTTCATTTATCTTTTACTTTAAAAAAATTGTTTAGTCAAAACAGAAAATTTCTTTAGGAAATATTCTTTTAAATAATACCCTAGTTAGTAAAACCAAAGAATTAAAAAGATAAACATTCCAGAACCATGCTTTAATTCAAAATGTCAGTTCAAAGGGAAATACTTCGTTTTGACACATTGAATCATTTGTTTGAACAGAAATTTCAAATTTTCTGATTCAAAGCATTTCATAACCATCTAGTAAATAATGGCTATAGTCTACTCCTGAAAATTAGAAAGGAGAGGTCTCATTCTGAGGAGAGATAAACCAGTGTCCAAACTTTAGTTTTACTTTAGTTATGAATTGCAGTTTGCAGCCTGTGATTTGTCAGTACAGTGGGGAAAACTTAGAAAGTGTCTAGTGGAAGGAAGGCAGATCTTTCCTGCAGCCCTGATGTCAACAGCCTAGGGTGGGGCAATTTAACAGAACTGTAAATGGAGATGAGAAGACCAGAAATGTTAATAACTTTAATCCTAGTCTTCCAGAATTGGAAGACAGTTTATAAAATAACCTAAGACGCAAACTGATCAGTTTTCTGTATTTGAGTTTACTGATTAGGTCAAATTTCAGGACTGAGAAAAATAAGGGGTTTGGCTCTTACCACAACCTTCAGTTGTCACTGTGGAAGTTCCTATAAGAAAAGAAAACAAAATAAAGGTGTAGGTCAGCAAGTTTTATTTTCCCAGAACATTAGAGGGGGGTGACTGGCGCTGCCCAAAACTCTTCTTTCAATATATTCAATACAAGTAGTTGTATTCAGCACTCCACTCATTTAAAAAAGGGAAGAAAACATCAGCTACATATAACCCCATTTTTTAACAAGTTATTTTAGGTATCACGTGTCTTTCATAATTTTCCAATGACATCACTGACTATAAATCAAACTGCTTATTAATAGCATTTCTGTATACAAAGTTACACAAGAATATTCCAAAATCCCACGATGTCATAGAGGTATGATAAGCTATAACAGCTTCCCAGGATACGTATTCCACAGAACGGCTAACTGAACACTGTCCAATGTCACCAAAGAAACAAAATTTACCTCCTTTTTGGCACAGCTACTCTTACCTTTGGAAGATGATTTATGCAACAGTGCAGATTCTTTTACAACTATTTTTACACTGAAATACCCGAAAGAAATTATGAGACGGTACTTAGAAAACCTGTACGGCAGATGGAGCAAAGAACTTCATCCTGAAAGCAATTACCTAAAATATACTAAGGTATTACCAAAAAAGACTGATATCTAATTATTTCATAGACGTTAGGCCCTAGATTTGCATCCCTCTGGGTTGGAAGTCATCTGGCTGAGTAGTGACCGTAATGAGAGGGTAAACTGAGTGGGTCCAGTGGAGAGTTACCAAGACGATTAGGGGCACAAGACCCACACGTAAAAGCTAAGCTCAGTCTGTCAAAGAGCTGACAGCAGCCTACAGATACTTGAAGGGCATTTACAAAGATGGTAAGAGTCCAACACCTGGATGTACTTTGCTCAAACACACGGAGCTATTTTACTGACCCGAGTAATTCATTACAGCCCAATTGCAACAATAATGTGTGTAAGCACTTGCAATATTGGATCCCAAAAAATTATTGATGCTGAGTGAAACAAAACTGGAAAACAGAGAAGCAGACAGATCGGTGGATGTATTCACACTTCTTTGCTGCTTGAGCAAATTTCTGTATATCTGATATCTGAATATCAAGAGGAGTACTGACACAGTAATTGACAGATTTACCCTCCTACTATGCCCTCCTACAAGCAAGTGAAAAATAATTTCTATTTTTCACTTGCTTGACAAGTAGAAAATTTGGTATCTTTACTATTACTCATAAACTATTAATAAGATTCCTAAAAACATACTTAAGTTTAATGCAGTTGTATGCCTAATTTGTATGCTTAAGTTTGATAAAAGAAATTCAGAACAAATTCCCTCATTCTAACACATTTTCTGTGCTTGCTGAATCGTAATTGGGATAACTGTGTGCAAGTTTGTCACCTATTGTGTGAGTGGGGATGATCCCAGTGTTTGCTGGCGTGCTGACTGGTGAGATGGTGCTGTGCAAGGATGTTGAACTGTAATCATCTGTAAGGAAATAAACAATATATCAGCATTAAAAAGTAAAATTCATTATTTCATATGGCTATGTCATCAGAAATGTCTTACACTACAGCCCTTCTCTGCTTTTTTTTTTTTTTATTCTGGGATTTTTGTAATTTAGAGAAGAGTGCTGAAAGAAAAACCATGTTAATATATCCAATAAAACAGAAAATGAGTATTTAAAAAGAAAGCAAGGTTTTAGGAGTATACCTCTTACTAATGAATTTTGCAATGTACAAGGACATTATTTTTTTTGTCATTATTTAGGCATAACCCAGGTTGGGCTTAACATAAAAATGGTGTTAATAATTGTGAACTGGGAAAATTAAAAACATCTTGCTATGTTCCCACAGGAAAACACAATCAGAAAGAAGCACTCCAGTAGCGTTTGTCTGCCAGATCACGTAACTTGCTCACTATATTACTTACTATATCTCAGTATTTATGTCCCTACTTTTAAACCACTAACAGGTTTTGACATTCTCTTTTAGGTCCTTTCCTATTGCTCTTGCTTTGGCAACAGCCTCATTGACAGCAGCTTGCATTTCGATACTACTGTGATGACTACAGGACTTGGCCATCAGACACCAGATCCTGGAATTAAATCTGGTATTGCTACTATGCCAAATTGAAGATACCTTTTCTATTTGATGAACCCTAAGCTGGAAAAGTCTACCCTGAGGCTGAATTACTTAGTTTTCCCCTACAGTAATTACTTAGTTTTCCCTTGCAGTTCAGAAAGCAGTGAGTGGCATCTAAAGGAAGACAGCAAACCTGATGAAGCATTCTTGAAGGCAATGGGAGTGTGTGCGGTGAGGGCAGCAGTGCTGCTGTGTGGTTGGTTGCCAAGTCCCATGGCAGGGACGGAGCTTGCATGCGTGGAGAAGTGTGTGCTGTCTGCGGGAGAGATACCTGCGGTGAGAGGTACAGCACTTTCATTAATGCTTTGGAGGCGGCCCAGACAAGGAGGGACACAAAGCTGCACACAACACAGGACTGCTGTGCTGAAGCACTGTGAATTTGTTAGTAAGCAAAGGCACACTGAACATTCAAGGTGTTAGGGGGTCCAACAGATGTCAGCTGAAAATCCAGTAAGTATAATCCTTTCTTGGCACCGACCGCACCTCTTTCACGCTAAATGTTGTGTTTTAAAATATACTCAAATTCATTACTCAAAACCAGACTTGTCTGATATTCTTGTTTCTTAAGACTGTATTTCATTTCACTGGGCTGAACGAACAGGCATTACACACTCTGTGAGATAACTGTGTACAGGAAAAGGAAAGAGGAAATGATCAGAAAAAAACATCAATGCAGTTCTGTCACGTAAATTAAAAGTTTCTTACCAGCTCTAGTCGTTGCTGACTCATCTCCTTAAAAACAGAAAGAGAGGAAGAAAGTGTAAATTTAACTTTCAAGAAATTAAACACAATCATGTGCCAAAAATATAAAAAGAAACATTCCTTCCTCCCAACTATCAGCTGAGCTCTCCCCAGGGAATTACACATTCTTAAGTAATTTTTAGTGGCATGTAGCAACAACCAGAACCCCAAAATACCAAACATATCATATACGGACTGATATCATCCACATTAAAAATCGCTTTTCCTTGAGTCAGAAGTCTGTGCTGTGTAGCCTGAGGGGTGGAGACAGCATCAGGAAGGCTGTGGTGGATGCTGTTCAGCTGAAACAGGAGAAGAGCAGCAATGCCGCAGTCCTGAATTCACCATTACCTTCAGTGATGCCTGCAGGTGAGAGTGATGTGGAGCGTGCAGGTAGAGGTGACATAGGGGAGGGAGAGCTGGTGTTTGCCAGATTTTCATCTCCTGCTGCACAGTGGGGAAAAAATACAATCAGGTGAGCATTGCATGAAGGTGAGAACCCATTGGAACCAGAAAGTCTACCAGCTGCTCTCTGAAGTATATTTCTCCCTCCAGCACTGGCAAAAAGAATGCATTTACACTGGTCTCCAGTTTGCAAACAGGCTGTGCAACACATCTGCTTGGATTTATTGCAAGACCATGGCTTGTGATTAGATCTGCAAGACCACTAATTCCAAATTCCCACCAATTTGTCTGGGATGCCTTTGTGACGAAGAGATTTAATCATCCTTTAGCAAGGTGTGGGGGGTGCACTGATTTTAGTTCTTTGAAAACACCAGCTAACAGGGGTGAATTAATGTGCAGCTAGCAAAAAGCCCAGACTGATTGGGGTGGTTTTATTTTGTGTTGTTGACCCAGGAAGGACCCTCTTCCCCCAGTCGTCAGATACTGCTGTGGTGCCTGAGGAGCTCTACATGAATTGCAGGAATGTGCCACTGTGACAGCTCAGCACGAAACTCTCATCTGAGAGCTCAAGGGGAAGGGGTCTCCATAAGGAACACATGAACTCATAACAGCAGCAAGTTATAGCTTGAATTCCAATTGATTTCTTTGAAAAGTGTGTTTCAAATCACCAGCTTTGATTTAATTAAAATAAAAAAAACTATCACCTCATCAACAAATTTTGCTGTAATACAATTGACCTCAGACAACATAAATCACGAAATTGCTTTAACAGTGATGGAGTTAACCAATGTATGATAGAAGTAGATGTCGGTTCAGCTAAAACTGGAGAAGAGCAGCAATGCCGCAGTCCTGAATTCACCATTACCTTCAGTGATGCCTGCAGGTGAGAGTGATGTGGAGCGTGCAGGTAGAGGTGACATAGGGGAGGGAGAGCTGGTGTTTGCCAGATTTTCATCTCCTGCTGCACAGTGGGGAAAAGATATCACCAGGTGAACAATGCATGAAGGTGAGAAGTTCATCTATAGTAGAAAAAGGCCAATGATTTGTACGGCTTTCTCTGAACCATGTTTCTCAGGACAGATTTGACTGGGGGTACGTTTTCATGTTTAACAATACATTTTGCAATACCAAAGCTAAAACCCTCAAAATCTTACGGCAGTGTATACAAGTACAAGCAATATCAACAAATAGAGGGTGAATTTTGCTGAACGAAGAACAATTTTATTACTAAGAAGAGATACCAACACTAATTCTGTTGTTAAGGATAATCCTACCTGTCTATAATCTTCCCTATACTAGAGCTGGAAAGCCAAGCCTTAGCATTCCTGAAAGCCATTTACTTTCCCTAATATTAATTTCTAAACGGCAGCACCTCTCTTGGACCATCCTGCTGATATTTAAGAATCTCTCCAAATAACTTTTATCTCCAGGTTATAAAGCTATGATCTTTTCACACCTACAAAAACAAGCCTCATTTTTGCACTCTGCTTTGAAATCCTGACCGAAAACGTTTTGCATTTGTGTAATATAAAATTTCTGTTGCAAGAAAGAGAGACAAAAATAAACAGCAATGGCTGGAACCATGACTCTGTTCTCATCACTATTATCTTTTACTCATTTTGAGGATTAAAAGCTTCCACTTTAGCGTAAGAATCCTGAAATCCATTCTAAAAGAATGCCTGTTCCCTCAAGATGTCTCTAACACAGCCTGCCATGCTTTCATCAAGGAACAAACTTCCACTGGTTCACATATTCCTTGCTATGACTGTCCACAAAGTTTCATCTGCCCGTTTGACTCTTCGTTTCTCTCCATTTCAGCATGTGTGTTTTTCAGATAGTACTTCACTGTTTACAATTTCTGTTACTTCAGCTTTCCTACATGGTACTTCACAACTGTTTTAGCTCTACTCTTTTGAAAATAAACTCCTTCAACCTTTACAACAAAAATCCAGGTTTGTGTGAAAAACTGCAGTACTTATGAAGCCCTCTACGTGTGCCAGGGTCAAAACCATGTCTCTCATCTCTGACACAGAAGCTCAACATAGGCAGATCTCCCGGGACTCCAAAGATTTTCTCCTTAGCGACCCAACAAGTAGCAGCACACATGTTGGCTGGTCAATAGCCACCATGGGTTCCGTACCCCGTATGGACAGTTCAGAAGACCAACAACAGCCATTAAAAAACAAGAACAGTGACAACTAAGTCACCTGCAGAGAGTAAGCGATTTCTTTATGCTCTAAACTGTCATGAAACGTGTATAAGCCATGATATAAAAACAAATGTAAACAAAAGCTAAAATCTTGTTAGTACTTTCCTAGTGAGTAATTTAATTTGTTGTGGACTATGCAATATTCAAGATCACTTCATACTAATTAAAATATGGAAAAAGTCAGTAGTCTGCTATTTTAAACAAAAAGTATCAACAGAAGTTAAATGAAGCTCAGATAATAGTAAAGCAGAGCTAACTACTTCATTCTTCATTTACAGAAGTATCTGGTCCATGAGATGAGGGTATGGGCCTGTCTATAGTTTGTCTGAAATCATATAAAACTATCAAAATAAAATCACTCTTAATTCTAAGAATATAATCTGCAAAATACGTAGTAGGCTGACAGCAGGCTGAATAATATGTGTTTAGAAGCCACTGTATTAAGAGCACTGTTATCCTAACCCATTTATCTATACATATCTCCTTTGAAACACAGGACTACATATACTTTTCAGAGCTACAGAATGTTAGCAGATGAAGCTTCCTAAGCTGAGAGATGTTACAGATAAGAAACAAAAATATAGATGATCTTTTGAACTATAAATGCATCTTCAGCATCTGAAGGTAAGGACTGGAACATTTATTAACAGCAATTGTATCATGTAACTGTATACATTAAACTGCCAGGGAACCTTGTAAAAGCTAACATGTATATTCATCATATTCATTTTTGATATATCTGCATGGTTTTTTAAATTCAGTGTTTGAAAACAGGCAGTTGATCACTCTAAATTCCATAATATGTTTTTTCTTTCTTCAATTGGTTATCAGCTGAATAATCAATTATTCCCTCTCCTTCCCAAATCTTACTTTGGTTTAGCACATTAAATATACCTCGAGCTCAAAACTAACTTTCTGTGAGCATCTACACAGATCAAATTACACTTAGATAACTGTTTGTAAGAAAAGAACGAAAGGAGTTGCAGAAAAAGTCCTAAATGAAACTGCTCAGAGATCAGTGGAACATTTAGGAATACTTTTCTAGCTATTTTCTGATCTCTAATGCAAACATGATGGAGACAAAAATATATGCTTCAAGATTCCCTCTTCCAAGTGAAGTAAGATGATATGAGCAAAAGAGGACTCATAACATTGTCACAGTGATATATTTACAGTTGCCTCATTATCTTGCTTAATATTCCTGTAAAGTCATTTTCTCCATCCTCTCCTTGTAAAGTCAGGAATAATGCTACTAGCTTAAATATAGCATGAGGTTTATCACTCATTCATAGTGACAGATGCTAAATGTTACACACAATCATAGAACTCAAGGTTGGAAGTGACCTCGAGAGATCGTCTAGTCCAGCTGCCCTGCTCAGGCCAGTGTCACTAGAGCAGACCACTTCTTGAAACAGTTTGGAAAATAATAATCCTAGATTTCCCATTTTCCCCTCCAAATAATCACTGGCATTTTAACAAAGTTTCATGGCAGTTGCATGTCCTTCTAAGCATTTTAAAGGTCTCCTGCTCTTCTATGATTACATTCTATTATATGACTTATTATAGCAATTGAATAAGACACAGTTGAAAAGAATTCAATAGGTGGCACCAGAACACTAAAAAACTCCTCTCAAACAGCAAAGTGGATACTTTTCCCCAAATAACCTTATTGAGAGATACTAGGTAAACTGAAGGAAAATAAAGAAGGATCCCAACACACCAGACTGTGTTACTTCAATATTAATAGGCATATTGCTACAATTAATTTACTTTTCCCAAAATGTCCTACAGCTAACAAATATGTCTAAGCTAACGAAGTTGACCTCTAAGTCAAAACTGTCAGCTCGTGATTGTATTCTAAAATATATTTCTGGAATCTTGAAGGCTGAAATCTAAGAATATCTTTAAAATTTAATAAGCTTGTCCAACCCCCAAAAACACGCTGTGTTGTACGAAAGCCTGGTGATTACCAAACTAAGCAAGTTGGTCTGGGTTTAAACAGGAACTACCCCAAACCTTTTCTCAAATCTTAAACTGCATCCAGCCATAAGATATTTTTGAGATAATATGCACAGAATAGGCTCAGATAACCCAAGTGGAAGTGTTAAAGCACACAAAAAGTTCCTATCCCTGAAGGAACTTTTCTAAGCTTCCCTTTCCCTTCTCTTGATTTGGCCACCAGTTGGTTCCTGTTGACTTACCTAAAAGATTTGCAACCCATCAGTAATGTTTGAGTGGATCTGGCCCTAGTCGGGTGCCCTGCAAAAGGATACAACCAGCACATCCTACCAGGTGATGGGAGCTTGGCTAATTGTTTTCGTTCCCTTTCCTCTCTGGCTACCAGTTGGTAGACAGAGTGCAGCTGCTGCTTGAAAGA